TTTAGTATTTAGTACACACAGCTCTGGTAGGCGCTTACCTGAACCGTAGCAGCAGAAGGTGCAAAATGTGTCAGACCTATTGTGACAGATAAAATGGAACATGAAAATGAATACTTTAAAATAATAGCCAGAAGGCAACATGAAACAATCCCAACGGCAAAGCAGAAAGAGCGGTTTTAAAATGATTGCCAGGGATTTTTAGTTTGCTGTCTCTGAGGGCTTTGTAAGTTTTCTTTTGGACTTACTTTTAACTTTTCTTTCTAACGTTCAAATATCTGAGCACCTGCTGTAGGCCAAATGTTACTGACTGCTAAAAGTCCTGCCACATAGTAGTAACCTGGTGTTCGGTCTGCCCTCCTGTGCCTGGTGGACAGGTGGGTGGGAACTTTATGATCCTGAGACTCTAGAGGAAGCAGCAACATTCCCCAGGGCCCTGGCAAGGTTAGGGGAATATTTAAAGAAAGGAGACTATTGTCCCATATTCTAATACACCTGCATTTGTATTAAGTGAGGTGCTTCATGGATCTGTATAAACAGTAACAAAATTTCCTTAAAAATATATCTAGAACTTTGTTTCACCCATGGTCTTTATTCTGAATAAACAAAGTAGTAGGCTTAAACTTCTGGTTTTACCCTGGCTGATCATTTTCACACATCACATCAGGTAGCTGAGACTGCCAAGCAGCAGGCTGACTTTGGTGGCATCTGTTACCTGTCCCATTGTCTTGCTCGGAAACCTTGAGAAGTGTGCTTGGTCCTCGGTATTTGCTGGAAATCGATAGGGGAAGTGGGCTGGCTGCAATTGACAGGTTTCGCTTTATCTTAGTACTTTACTGTCTGCGTCTTGTTTTTGAAAGCCTTCAGCCCTCTTCTCCAAGTAAAGCAGGAATTCTTGTTCCAGACTGTCTGCCTTGGGAGCCTCAGAATTGGGTTTTATTTTATCTAGCAGTGTTCTCTTGATGGGAAGTGAGACTGAAAGATGTCCTGGGGAGTGTGGAAAGATTGACATGTAATCGAGTCCTAGCATTTGGAAATTAAAGCTTCTTTTCTCAAGTGTCACAGCTTTTATATGAATATTAAATTACATGGTATGACTTAGCATAAACATCCCATGTAAGGATGCACTCTGCTTACACGCTCACCTGTTAATGGAACAAATTATGCACAGCTGATGGGTTTTGAAAATAGCAGCTGTCAGCGCCTGTTAAAATCAATCAGTGGCAAGATTGTATACATCAAATCTTATGTCGTGTCATGAAAATGTATTTACAATGTAACCGCTAATAAGCATGACTGTCAGCCTCACTGTTGTTGACAGTCACTTGGTGTGCTTTGATTCCAAATAGTTTACCCTTGTGATACTTTTTCCTTAAAACTTTGTCTTTTTTGAGTAGAACTACCCAAATCCTTTGTTTTACACTTAAAAAAAAAGTATTGCTCAGATTTTGGTGTTAGCTCAGAAATACCTTCTGTTCTTTGGGACACTTTAGTCTTTAGGAGCTAATGAGAGCATCATATTTGCAGTTGAGTGTTCTCGAAAGTATTCTTAGTATGAGGCTTCACATTACCCAGTGACAGCACCCTTAAGGATGCAGTCTACAATCCACATCTACCCAGTGATGGCGCCATCCAGGGAGCCCTCTACAAATGCGTTTTGGATGCTGTTTATAATACAGTCTGTTTTTAACTCGCCAGGAACATGATTTTATTTCTTCCAGTTGCTCCCAAGTTTTTATTGACAATGTGAAGGCTGGGCTAGTTCATTAGGCTTAGTTTGAGGTAGGTCTCAGCTGTCGGGAAAACTTAAGTCCCTACTCTAGCCCCCTCTGTCAATGAATATGCAGTTAGCCTTTGCATTGATTTTAGTTGCATTTTTTGCCCTCCAAGACCGTTACTGGTCTTCATTCCCCATCATCTCAGCCATGTCCTTTCAGTCCTTCCTCACCAACAACTTGTTGAGATCCCAGGTGAATGGATACTTCAGTTTGCTGACCTTTCCATCAGAGGCAGGATCTGCCTTGGAAATCTCCATTTCCTCTCCATATCCATACTGCGTAGGCTGCGTCTTCCTCCTACCTGATGCTGAGGTTCTGAGACTCCTCAGAGGGATCATATTCAAGATAAGTTAAAACTCACTAGTTCACATTGCTAGTGTGATTTTTGTTTTTAAGAAAGAGTCCCACAGTGTAGCTGTGGCTGATGTTGAACTCGCTGTGTAACTCAAGCTGACCTCAGACTTGGAGCAAGCATCCTGCTTCAGCATCTCCGATGTTGGGAATGCAGGTGTGAGTAACCATGCCCCACTTTTAAAAATTAGATTAAAAAAAAATAAACTCATGTTTCTGTAAACAGAAGCTTTTTCCTTGAGAGGAGCCTTCCCGCCAGCCTGGTTCTAGAGCCGCATCAGTCCCAAATAAACACACAGGAGGCTATATTGATTATGAAGCTGTTGGCCTTGCTTGTTTCTTACTGGTTAGCTCTGACTTAAGTAATTACCCCATAATTGTTAATCTAAGTATTTCTCTTACCAGAGAGTAGTTCCGAGCTTCCTACCCCATGGCGTTACATCTTGCCCTCTTGTGTTTCTCCTTCCCAGAGTCCTCCTGGACTCCTAGTCCCTCCTATCTAGATTCCCTATTGGCTAGACAGTGCTTTATTGACAAATGCACAGGACTTCCCCAACACATGTTCCTGTTCATCTTTTATTCTTTCTCAATACCTCTTTTTTACAAAGCCCTTAAAAATCTGGAATTACAACAGAAGCCACGGTAGCCAAAGTGTTTCGCAGCTAGAAGTGATGAGTCCTTGATGTGCTGTGGACTCGCGCGTCCACGAAGAGCAGGCGCCTTAGAAGCCCTGTGAAGCCACACGCCATTTCACCAACTCAGACTCAGTACTTCCCAGTCGCAAGTCCGCATAGCTGGTCACCACTTCATGTGGGGGTGCACAGAAAGGACAGCTGACAGGACCTTAGGTCCCAGTCCATTCGTATGTGTGAAAACTGAGGGAGAAATTCAGTCTGAGATCACATAACCAGCTACAGAGGTGAATGAAGGCTGTGACTGAGGTTGCCAGCCCACCACCGTAATGCCACCGTTGGCATATGTCAAAGAAAAGCGTCCCTGTCTTGATCAGTGTGGTATGAGAGTCCATCCGTCTCTGTCCTAGAGTAGACAGTATACGATCACTCTACTGACTAGGACGTACTTACGTGAAAAGGATCATCTGAAAACCTAGTCAAAGAGACTCAGTGTGTCGTTCCTCTCTCCCGGAGACCCTGTCAGGCCCTGAGCCAGTCAAGGCCTGTGTGCTATGCAGTCAGAAGCTTCCCCTGCGGCTTGTGCTGTCCTGTTTTCAAACATGCATTTAATCAGTATTATTAGTCGCATTAAAGTGTCTGTAATTGCTTCTCTGCTTCCGAGTGCAAGTGTTGAATGTCCCCTTTAGTGACCTTCTTCCGGTTTGTGACTTCTGAGTCTACATACAAGTAATAAAATCAGTTCACTTAATCTCAGCTTGCTTTTTAATGAAGTAATAATGCTTCGGACCTCTTCGTAGTGTACATATAATAGTTTACCTGGAGGCAATTAAATAGCGTATTTTTAAAATAATCTAATTAAAATGTTATATCTTTGAATTTAATGTTTCCCAAGTGTTACTGAATAATGGGTATTATTATAACAGGGAAGGACGCTAAGCAGAATCTTTGTATCACATGTTACCTAAGCTGATATTTATCCCATGGAACTTGAAGAAAGGATTCTGAAGTCTAGTAGAGCCCAGGAAAAAAGATTCAGGGGCATGGGCAGGGCTTGCATAAGCCTTCCTGTGGGCTCTCCCTTGTTACTAGGCCACTCTCTTGTCATTTCTAGATTAGAAGTAGGCTGTGCTTCATCTTAGGACAAGAATGTCGGCTACATTTCCAGAAGACTGATTTTTGCACAGGCCCTTGTATAATGGTTTTTATATTGACAGCTTACCTTCTATGCTTATCAAGTGTCAAATACTTACTGTAATATTTGAGGCAAACTGAACCATTAGATTCTTTCATGAACTCTTACGAGGTAGATAGAATAAGTGGTTACCTTTCTCTTTTTGGTGTGAGGTTCAACCATTTGGCCCGTGACCTCCATGTATTTGGTACAGAGCTGAGCATCTGACCAACCAGAACATCTGGATGGAAAGTGTAGTGTCACCATTATGTCCCACTGCCCTTACGGCATCTAAATACTAGATTTATCAAAATGAAGCGTGTCACGCAGTTTATGATAGAATGTGGGCAGGGGACAGAGGGCTCTGTGGACTCAGTTAGGAATCAGGTTATCTGTCAGGGACTGTGAGATCAGAAAAGGGTAGAAGCTGTGACGCTCTGAGTGAGAGCAGCCCCATAGACGTGTATATTTGAATATATGGCACCTAGTTGGGCAGCATGACCCTGGAGGAGATAGACTTTGAGGTTTCAAAAGATTCATGCCTCTCTCTCTCTCCTCTCTCTATGTCTCTCTGCTTCTCTCTCCTCTCTCTATGTCTCTCTGCTTCTCTCTCCTCTCTATGTCTCTCTGCTTCTCTCTGTCTGTGTGTGTGTGTGTGTGTGTGTGTGTGTGTGTGTGTGTGTGTGCTCTCTCTGCCTCTGTTAGTGGGTGTCTCGAGATGTGGGCTGTCCGCCACTGCTCCAGCTCCATGTCTGCCCCTCTGTCCCCTTGCTCCTCACTGTGATGGTCGTGACACCCGCTCACCATAATAGTCATGGGTTCAGTGATAGTCATGGATGCTAAACCCCGGGAACTATCAGCCCTGGGTAAACGCTTCTATAAGTTGCTTTGGTCATGGTGTCTTATCACATCAATAGAAAAGTAACTAAGAGAGCTTTTGTTTGGCCGGAGTATTTGGATTAGCTTCTGTCTGGATCAGTAGGGTCCTAACTTACCACAGTTCAGTCTTTGAACATCATTGTCTGTACATTCGCTTCACGTTGCTGGTAAATCCTTTTGTTTTCACAGAAACTCAAACAGAAGAATCAACAGCTGAAGCAGATTATGGATCAATTACGGAATCTCATCTGGGACATAAATGCCATGTTGGCAATGAGGAACTAAACTGACATTGAAATCTTGCTCTACTCGTGTGATACAATTGGATTTCTTTCCCCTGCAAGTATTCTTCCTTTGAGAAGGATTATTTATCTTTTTATTTTAATGGCTAGCACTAACATTCCTGTTTTCACTGTAAAGCAGTCACTGGCTCTTTTTTTTGTGTGTGTGTGCTCTTGTTCTGTAAAGATTATAATAGCCTTTGATAGGGTTTGAGTTTTGGTTAATCTTCACAAATTGAGTAATTGCTTTTTAAAAGCAAAATGAGGTTTAATAAATAATTTTTTAAACATAGCCAGTGTTTTTGCTTGTTTTAGTTATCCTTTTCAAAGAGTGGTAAAGTATAAATATTTTAGCTTATTAAAATACTAGCCAAAGTTTATCACCGAAAGAAATTAATTAAAATTAAAAATATATTACCATCTAAGCTCCTTTCTTAATTCAATTTTATTTTCAAACCAGTTAAAATAAGAAAGTTGTTTGTTGCTCAGTTACTTTGACCGTGTTCTTCAAGTGTTTTTCTGAATTAAAATGAGAGAGGTGATTTGAAGAAAGTACAAGTAAGACACAGATACGTGCTTAGCTGCAACCCACGTTGGGCCCAGTAGCTGGCCCTGTCTGTCAGAGACAGCCTAATCCCAAATATGTTTCAGAAGACTGCACTTGTAAGAGTTCGAATCTAGAATATTCTTAGGACACTGGTTCTCGACCTTCCTAACGCTGCGGCCCTTTAAATCAGTCCCCCATGTTGTGGTGACCCCAACCATACAGCTATTTATGTTGCTACTTCATAACTGTAATTTGTTACTGCTGTGAATGGTAATGTAAGTGTTTGATATGCGGATGGTCCTATCTGACCTCTGTGAAAGGGTTGTTCCACCTCCCCCTCAGGGGTCACGACCCAGGTTGAGAACCACTGCTTTAGGCCCAGTATGTTTTCCATCTACAGGCTGTGGTGGGCATTCCAGCTTGAGGCACAAACTCCTTCCTGGCCTGACTTGGCGATGACAATCCTGCATGGGACTCTTGGTCGTGGATAGAGTTTCTCCAACAGGTTACATAAGGAGCTAGTCACCAGCTTCCTCTGGGGAAGGGAACAGGGGAGGTTGGGGTTCAGAGTCAGAAGGGGCTACACTATTGCACCTCCTGAATGTGATAGCCTGTGCAGATAGTACCTGATCCATACCACGCATTTCCCCGAGCCATGCAGACTGCCACCAGGAGGGTGAGAGAGGACAAGCAAGTCCAGTGTTGGTGACAACCATAGGGGAAGCTCTGTGTAGTTGCAGGGCCAAAGCAACCATGTGAAACGGACACAAGAGAAGAATGTAGACCCAAAATCTCGCTTCGTGGGCTGCTCCCCATAACCGAAGATACTACAGTTAGTTTAGACATTTGGGATTTCTGTAAGTTTTCCTATGCAGCATAGTCTGTATTTGACTGTGACATTATGTGTGCATAGTGTCTAATGTAGTGTTAACCCGAGCTCTGCTTGGCTTAGACTAAACACACCTCTTTGAACAAAACACTTGGCAGTCTGAGAGCATACCTGTACATTTGCATCAAGCTACATATACACCCTCTCTGAATAATGGAATAAGTTTCTCTTGCCTTTAATGACCATGAAATTTAAACTCTATTCACTTATACTAAGAAGGTGGAGGGGGCTTAGACTAGGAAGGCCTAAAACAGTCAAATTATCAGGGCCCTTGGGTATCTTCATTCTCAGTGTATTCTCGCATATTCTATTGCTGCTTCCTTTTGATTAAACTTTCCTTGCTGCTTTTCCAGTCTGTGTGGAATTTTTATGGGAAATACATGGCCCACACTGACCACTGATAATAATGACACTTGTGAATTTAGTCTTTCATTCCTGACAACCATTATGTAGTAAACAGTTTTGATATTTGGTTCAGATATTGTAAGTATCCTGCTCAGCCACATGGTGCCACAATCCCAGTTCTTGGAAGGAACATAGAAACTGCATGCTTTGGGCTTTGAATATATATATTCTGGGGGAGCACAAACAGAATGTGGTTACACTGCTGTGGACCTGTAGCCCCAAGTTATGCGCATGCTCTCTCAGCAGTGGGACTACTCATTCACAAGTATCCTTTGTGAGTATGGTGGGGTACTAAATGCAGACCCCTGCTAGCTCTCTAGTTCTGCCTTTTCTAGAGAGAACACATCAGTAGATTAACGTGCAAAGAACGGAACTGTACTGTAATATATGTCTCTAGGCAAGATAACCTGTTCTCCCACCTGTGAAATGATGTATGAGACTAGTTGATACTATTCTCCAGGTTAGAATTTTGCTTGGAAATTTTAGAAACTTGGTTAGAAACACAGGATAATTCAACAGAAGGTATTTACGAGTTCCTACATTGACAAAACAAAACTAAAAACTTGGCATGAGCCAAAGCATCAAGAAGTACAGATCAGATCTGATGTCTCCAAAATCTCTTGGTCTACCCTAATTCCAACTTACGTCTGTCTGTTCTTCCATTTTCTTTCGGTCTAGAGAAGGCTCCTCCAAATGGTAGGAGCAATGTTCCTCTATGCTCTAGACATCTTTTCTGTACATCTTTTCTGTATCCTGACCACAAAAGTTGCAAGACTTACTCACTCCTGAGCTGAAAACCAACAAATGAATCTGTTGTGTACATGGGTACTACAGTTGAACTGACCCTTGTTATAAATAAATCTGTCTGTAGCCAAGACTTGGGTGTGGATGTCATAGAAAAGCACACTTCTCAGGGAACAAGGATTACAGAGGAAAAGAGGACCAAATAAGAACATTTCGAAGAGAAAGAGTCGGTGGTCGCTACAAGGAGTGATGGTCTTCCTTCATTGTTACACCGTTTCAGATACAATCAGGGAAATTATTTAACCTTCAAAACCCCCAGAACATTTCAGAAAGGCAGATGCATCTTGCACCACCATGGGGAAATGTCGTATCTTTCTCTAAGCTTGTAGACTTCTGTACTGGAAGGTTTCTCCACAGCTGTTTTCCTTGCAGCTGTGTTAGTTCATTACAATGTGAACTTGTCAGGTCTTCCTTCGATGGGTTACAGCTCAGATAGGACAGAGTTAAACAAAACAAAACCCTGAAAGCCCCAGCACACTGGTAAGGACATTGTCTTTAAATGACTTGGCAGCCTCCAGCCTTGATCAATCAGACATACATCCCAACATCCCGTGGCTCTGGTACAAGCCAAAATGTGTTAATTTGACACTTTGATATAGTTCCAGCTTGAATGATTCATTTTCTTTCCCTAAATTCCCACTGCAACATATGCTAGACAGAGGGGATTTTTAGCCTTAGACTAAAATGTGTGCTTATTCTAAAGCCTCAACGTGTAAGTTACCCTAGGCATCCTTAAGTTGTTTCAATATGCTGGATGCTTTAAATTTTTCTCTAATCCTCTAAACACAGAAGTGTCAAGGGTTATTTTTTTTTTCAAACAAATTGAAAAAATTTCTCAGTTGAGGATTTTTTAACACAAAAATGTTGAATTCTTTCATCACTTTTTTAAAACTGAAGAATTAAAGTTACTAGGTTTATGGAGCTTTGTTAATTCATATTTTATACAGATTGACATTGCATAATTTTTGTAAGAGATTCATTCTTTCCTTCCAAAGTCTTCAGCCAAAATGTATTGTGCATTCAAATAATTCCTAGAAAAAGTACCAAAGATGAAATAAACCTGTATTTTTATTTTCTTTGAAGTTTAAAGTGTATATTAATCTTCTAAGAATTGGAACATAAAACCATGAAGTAGTATGCCCTTGGTTAGACCTAATGTTTTCATGTTCTCATTAGGTATGTTTTTGAAGCAACATACAAGCACACACAAGAATCGCTGGTGTTGTACTTTTTATATGCATAATTTTGGATTTATCACAAATGCACTGAGTCAGAAGCTAAAGTGAACTTCTAAAAATCTGCACATTTGACAAATTTTCCAGGTGACCTGCCGTTGGGGCTGAACAATATTCTAAGCAGTTTATTGAAAATTGTTGCAATTATTTTAATAGGGGAAGCTTCAAAACCAGTAGTCGCGGTATAAAATAAGATGTATGAGACCATATTTGGAGTTCTGGCTTTGAGATGCAGTGTTCTAGCAGTACCTCTCAACTCAGCTGCACGTTAGGACACACTGGGGAAATGTTAAAATTCCCTATGTCAAAGCCACATCGCAGACCAGTTAAATCAGAAATCTACATGGGATCCGGGTTCGGTGGGTTTTCCAGTTCCTCTGGTGATTTCCATGTGAAGCCAGGGTAAGCGCCATTGCTGTTTCTAGGTTTGTAGGCATGGAAAGACTCTTGAGGGATCCGCTAGTGTTTAGGGCAGAGAACTGTGAGGGGACAGGAATCTGAAACTCACCTATGCATACAAGTGTTTGTCTTTGCTTTGAATTCTTATTTTTATGTGTATGTGGTATTTTGCCTGCACTAATGTCCATGCACCATGTGTGTGCCTGGTGTCTCACTGTGGCCAGAAGAGGGCGTAGGATCCCCCTGGGACTGCAGTTAACAAGCAGTTATTAGCTATCACGTGGGCTCCAGGGATCAAACCTAGGTCCCCTGGCAAAGCAACCAGTGCTCTTAACTGCTGAGCCATATCTCCGGCTGGACAATTGGTTAATGGTACTCTTGTCATCCACACTCCCACCCACCAATATAAACAAGTGACGACACCACACTACAAGCCGTGGTTTTTTAGGCAAAAGCAAAGAACATCTGTTTCAGGGTCCTTCCTCTCAAAGCAGTCATGCCGCTTTGAAAACATTGTACAGGTCAAGTGGCGTCCAAAGAAAGACCCCATTTCTCTTCGTTCCTAGTTTCAGCTGAACATGGCCACAGCTTGTTTTACACTGACAAGTTAATTAACCTGGATTCTTCATTTACTTTCTAACCACCATTCATCACAGACTCTAGGCAGCCTGCGAGAAATGTGTGTCCCGAGGTGAGAATTGCACAATTCTGGAATGCAAGTTAGAAAAGAGGTACTCGTTGGTGTTGACTCCAGAACAGGCCCTGGATCTCACTCTCATAGATTACATAGACGCCCCACTCTCAAAGAAAGTTAATGACTTTATTCTCCTAAAATTCAAAAGTTTTCGTGGTGCTTTTAACAAACTTCAAATCAGGGTCTTCGGCTCATGTTGTACAAACACCCCTGTGGTTAAATAATTACATCTGTATGGGCCCAAACCTGTAACAATATAGCCAGACAAAGAGAAGCCAATGCTGTGAAGATGCTCATCTCTGGGAGATGGGGATGGGGT